TGTAGATCTTTCCTACCAGAAGATCAGGGGTGTGGCTGAAAGACAGCAGTAAGAAGGAGCCAAGGAGTAGCTGCAGTAGAAAGGCTGCAGAGAGAGTCAGGCGCCCAGAGGAGGGGGGCATAGGAGGTGAGGGGTGGGGGCAGAAAGATGAGATGAAAGCAGACGACAGAACATTGAAAGGAGACAATTTGAGAGAAGAAATATTTTTGGTCGCTACCCGGATTCGAACCCGGGACCTTTGAAAGAGAGGCGAACACCTTAACCTCTAGGCCACGAGAGCCCCTCACAACGTTTACTAACTGCAATAATCTGAGTTAAATCAGAGAAGTTTAATCCCTGTATTAAAATAATATTTAGGGGGGGGGAGTTAAAATTAATTTGCTTTTGGTTTATCGAAGAAAAAAAAGAAAGAAAGAATGCACATTTTAATGAAAATAGAAACCATTGAGAAAGTGCATACCAGCGACAAAGGCCAGTAATTACCGGTGAAAATAATATCCTATTGAAGCTGTGGCCAGTGCCTGAGTGAAAGAACTTTGGAAAAACATAACAACAGTGGGTGGCTGCTGCTGCATTACCACGGTCTGTCAGAATCGATAGGCTCGCGATAATAATTCTGTGTGTTAGGATATTATTGACAGGAGGAATTCCGTAATGAGCGACCACTAAGAATCAGAGTAGAGTAGAGTGTTAGGGGTAGGGGTTAGGGTTTGGATGTAAGGCTTAGGGTTTGGGGTAGGGGTAGCATTTGGGGTAGGGGTAGGGGTTGGGTCAAGGTTTGGTTTCTTCTTTATTTTATTTTTTGGGGTGGTCGCTCGTTACGGAAATCCTTCCATATTGACAATAGGGGCCGTTTTGTTCTCTGTCGTGTAAGGGTGGGTGGAGGTACATGCTTTGTGCAGAAGACACCTAACCTCACCCTAAACCCTAACCCTACCTTAAACCCTAACCCGTACCCTAACCCAACCTAAACTTAAACCCTAACACCCCTACCCCTACCCCTATTCCCCTACCCTACCCCTATCCCTACTCCTACCCCTATACCCCAACCCTACCCTTTCCCCTTACCCTATCCCCTACCCCCTAACTCTACCGCTACCCCTACCTCTACCCCTCTATTCTACTCTGTCTCATAGTGGTCGGTCGTTACAGAAGTCCTCCCCAAAAAAGGGAGGGAAAAAGAGGGGGTGAGGGGTAAAAGCAAGTTTAACAAGAGCCAAAAAAGGGGGTTTGATGTGAGTGTGTGTGTGGG